ACGCAAACTAGACACGCCATTTATGGATATTAGATCAAAAGTCTTAACGAGTTCAGCTTTCGGTGACGAACGTGGCTTACTTGGGATGGTATTTCACCCAAAATACAGGGAAAATGGTCGTCTCTTTGTTTATTACATCACCAAAAAAGTCGGCAACAAGAAGAAGACGGATCCCAAAGAGTGGTGGTTGGGCACTAGTGTCGCAGTCCTTAGCGAGTGGCGGGTCTCTGGGGCGGATTTGAATCGTGTTGACCAGCACTCCGAAAAAGTTCTCATGAGTATAGAGCAACCTAAAGGCAATCACAATGGTGGTCAGCTGTTGTTTGGTAAAGATAAATACTTGTATGTTTTTCCTGGGGATGGTGGCGCAGCCGGGGATCCATTTGGAAAGTTTGGAAATGCTTTGAATAAGTATGTACCCATTGCTTCGTGTTTTCTCGATTGAATTTTATCTGCCTATAAGACACAATGTGACGCCGGGTCAGTCGGGGGCGGGATTTATCGTAACTTTTACTCTTCAAAAACTCAATAATTCATGAGGAAAACACAAAGAAAAATCATAAGCGTGTCGTATCTTTATATGTGATAGAGATTTCCCTTGATTCACATAAACTTTAACTTTGATTTCTCAACTTACACAACGTATTTTTTGAAAATTACTTCGCCAATGAACTTACTAGATCGATCGTTTTTTAAGCAATTTAAAACATTCGCAGTGCGTGTTTTATCAGACCTAAAGATACATGACTTCGCCTCCTATCTTAATATCTGATAAAACAATGATGCTCATGTTTTATCTAGTACTTAAAATACTCATTAATAATTCATAAACCTTGTGGCAAATCATGTCAGCCATAATATGTCACGTGGAGTGACTTTATATCTGATAAAACACATGCGGCATTATATAATTGTTCATCCTAATTAGTATTCTTTTGTAGTCGTATTTTAAGCTATTCAAAACACTCGTTGTCGTGTTTTATCAGATATAAAAATTTTATATCTGATAAAACACTCCTACTCGTGTTTTAAATAGTACTTAAGAAATTTTGCACTGAGCATCACTGTTTTGCTAATATCTCGTGAAATTACAAAAGGATAGTTCATTTTTCGTCGGGTTTCGTCTTTCTTCAAACTACACACGTAAAAAATCTCACAAGTCTGCCAACAAGCCGTCAGCAAATCGTCTTCGCACTGCTTGTCACAAATTGTCAACAAGTTTGGAACAACTTGTTGACAACTTGTAACAACCTTGTCGAAATTATCAGACTTGTTGCAAGGTTGTTCTGACAAGTCCGTTACATGCTTGATATAACAAGATTGTTACAACCTTGTGTTGACAACTTTGAAACATCTTTGTTATATCATGGTTGTAACAAACTTGTTAGCACGATCTTGTAACAAGGCTGATAATGCCATCAAGCTTGTTACAAGTTGTTAACAACTTGTTCCAAACTTGTTACAACAAACTGGGAACAAGCAGTGCGAACACAACTTGTCGACAGCTTGTGAACAGATTTGTAACAACTTGTTTGCAGACTTGTTACAAGCTGTGCGTTTTTACGCATGTAAGTGAATTGTTTTCATGTTTTTAAAACAACAATGCTTGGTTACCTTTCGGTCACCACAGTGACTGTTACTGAATTTCTTACACAGGTCAACTCTTCTCGGGAAAGTACTACGCGTCGACGTCGACAAAGCGAAGCCCTACAGCATTCCACCAGACAATCCGTTTGTTAATGAATCGCAGACGTTGCCAGAAATTTATGCATACGGTCTCCGCAACCCGTGGCGTTGCTCCGTCGACCGTGGGGAAAGAGGGAGTGGTTATGGCAAGGGGAGAATATTCTGTGGCGATGTGGGGCAGAATTCGTTTGAAGAGATAGATATTATTGTGAAAGGAGGAAACTACGGTTGGAGAGGACGCGAGGGTTTCAAATGTTATGATAGGAAGATTTGTAGGACTTCGTTACTTGGTAAGTCTGACGTCATTGTGGAATTACGTCATGAGTAGGACGTTATACTTTATTATTAATCCTTTGCCAACTTTATTTACACTGAATAGCTATATCAGTTCTAACCTGTTCTCCCTATAGGTCCAGTAAGGATCTATTGATCCAGTGTTGCTACAGGAGGAAACCTAAACTAAACTAACTTTATTTATACGTACTGGATAGCTCTATCAGTTCTAAAATGTTCTTCCTAAAGGTCCAGTAAGGATCATTTCTTATTGATCCAGTGTTACTACAGGAGGAAACCTAAACTAAACTAACTTTATTTATACTGGATAGCTCTATCAGTTCTAAACTGTTCTTCCTAGAGGTCCAGTAAGGATCATCTCTTATTGATCCAGTGTTACTACAGGAGGAAACCTAAACTAACTTTATTTATACTGGTTAGCTCTATCAGTTCTAAACTGTTATCTCTGGAGGTCGAGTTATGGCTTTTTTCGATTGGTGCAAAGTTACCGTTTAAAACTGATAAAGCTAGGTTCAGTCAGACCATCTCTATTGGTCCAGTGTTACTTGAGGAGGAAACTCGAGTACTTGGTATACAAAACCTGCAGTGGTTTGGGAGAGTCAAAACTGTAAGCACTCTTCTCACATGGGATTGAGGTGGTATCAGAATATTAAAAGTTCTCAAGTTACAGTATTGTTTTCCAGCCAACGAAGTGTTTCCAATTCACGCCTACAGTCACAAAATCGGACAGTCAGTCGTTGGAGGTTACGTGTATCGTGGCTGTAAATATCCCAAAATGAGAGGCCTGTACTTCTTTGCTGATACGATGAATGGGTGAGTCCATAAACGTTTCACTAAGCAATGTCACACAGTACACACGTAAAAACGCACAAGTTGTAACAAACCTGCAGCAGACTTGTAGCAATGTTTGTCCAACAACTTGTCAACAGGATGTGTTCGCACTGCTTGTTCCCAGCTTGTTGACAATTTGCTACAAGGTTGTTGAGCTCAACAGACTTGTTACAAGTTGTTCCAACAACTTGTTATCGTCCTGCAATTCAACAATTTGTCAACAAGTTGTGAGTGACAACCTTGTAGCAACTTGATAAAATAACAACATTGTTACAACTTGTTGACAAGCTTGCTACAAACCTAATGGTCTCGTGGTCCCGATACTTTTTCCACATTTGAAATTCAAGTTACACACCTAAAAACGCACAAGTTGATACAGGTCTGCTAACAAGTTGTTACAAATCTGTTCACAAGTTGTCGACAAGTTGTGTTCGCACTGCTTGTTCCCAGTTGTTGTAACAAGTTTGGAACAAGCTGTTAACAACTTGTAACAAGCTTGATGACATTATCAGACTTGTTACAAGGTTGTTCTAACAAGTCTGATAGAGTCATGATATACCAAGACGACACAAGGTTGTAACAATATTGCTATATCATGACTGTATCGGACTTGTTGGAACAACCTTGCAACAAGTCTGATAATATCAACAAGGTTGTTACAAGTTGTTCACAGCTTGTTCCAAACTTGTTGACAACTTGGGACAAGCAGTGCGAACACAATTTGTTGACAACTTGTTGGCAGACTTGCTACAAGATGTGAGATTTTTCCGTGTGTAGATGTAGATATCTCTAATTCATTGTATTTTATCACAGTCGAATGTTCACATTGAAAGAAAACAAGAGGACAAAGAAATGGCAATCGAAAGAAGTTTGTATGGGTGACAGTTCGTATTGTAATGGACCCGGGATCTCGGGCGATTACGCGACGATGATATTATCTTTTGGAGAGGATGAATCTGGTATATCGTAGTGATTTTTATTATCCTGTATCGTTCACTGTTTTCTTTTTATTCTCAAAACTTTCCGTGTTTGGCAGAATCAAACTGGAAGCATTCTGTGAATAAGGGAAATTATACACAATTCAAAAAAGGTTGTCCTTTGCAAACCTTAAACTGTAAACCTTAAACTCAAAGCGTGCAAAGCATAATCATGAGAGCATCACTTAATGAGTTTAGTAATGGCGTCTCTAAATAACGTTTTATAGTGATCCTTTAAATAAAGTTTTACCTACCTACCATCATATATGGAGCCCATTACTTAGAGACATGGGTGGTAAATATCTCCTTACGACAACAATTCATTCACAAATAGCTGCAATATTTAACTACTAAGTTTGAAACTTGTGCTCCTATTAAGTTTTGTGCGCTTAGAGTTCAAGGTTTAATGCTTAGAGTTTAAGGTTTGCAAAGGACACTTTTTTTTAAATTGGCTGTATAATCAAACAACTGGATAACCGCTGTACTAAGCAACCAGATACTTTGTTATTTTTAGGTGAATTATACTTCGCGTCAACAGCATTTACAGACAACGAGGCAAGAAAGGGAGCTGTCTATCAACTTTTTGACCCAGAAAGGTTTGAATTAAAATGATATTTCTGTATTTAAATTAGGAAAAGCTGGGTTTTGCTACCATCGGTTGCCCTACAACACTAACTGTAACCCACTACAACGTTACGACCAGGGCAGGAAAAAGGAATTTTCTGCAGACCAACGAGTATTTTTGTGCAAAATCCACATGTGCATAAACATATAGTGTCCTAGCGGACCATGGTTAAAAATTCAAGGAATAATGTCTGTCAACCATATGTTGTTGCGCCCATAGTGGGACATGGGTGTTAAGGTTTCCTTCAAATTTTCAATAGCAAATCTTCATTCAAAGTAATTTCCTGCAGCTGTTTAACATTTCCTGCGAGCAGTGTTCCCGTGCTCGCCTATTTTGTCCACCCCTGGAGTTACGATCCTGTAACATCTAAGATCTTGTTGCATATTGTTGCGTGGTGTTATAAGGACAATTCGTTTTTGTCTTTTCTAGACGTACCGATCCATCTCAATGTACATTCACCGTCAAGGAACCGGTTAGACCTGTTTGCAGTAACCGGAAAGCAAGCGGCATTTGTGACATATATAGACGTCTCGGATTCTGCAAGAAAAGCTATGTTAAATATATGACAAGGAATTGTAAGCTCGCTTGTGGGCTGTGTTCATAAACTGCTGTGACTCATGTATAAAAGATGAAAACGTACCCATATATATTGAGATTAAGTAAAATTTGTGCTTGGATGTTTTGAATATGCTTTGGGCTTTAAAATTGAGCGTTTTCCTGTAAAAGACTTGGACATAAAAGTCTACATGGTTAAACCACAATTTGATATTTGAACTGTCTTATATCAGTAAAAAGGAAATAAATAATATTTTTTAGTATTGAACTGTCTCTAAGCCTCATTTTGTATAATTTCTTGGAATTTGTGGTCGTTGTTAATTCCAAGAAATAAATAATAGTCAACTCATTTTATATTTTACTAACTGTTATATATATAGTACACACGTAAAAACGCACAAGTTGTAACAAACCTGCAGCAGACTTGTAGCAATGCTGTTCCAACAACTTGTCAACAGGATGTGTTCGCACTGCTTGTTCCCAGCTTGTTGACAACTTGCTACAAGGTTGTTGAGCTCGACAGACTTGTTACAAGTTCCAACTTGTTATGGTCCTGCAATTCAACAATTTGTCAACAAGTTGTGAGTGACAACCTTGTAGCAACTTGATAAAATAACAGCATTGTTACAACTTGTTGACAAGCTTGCTACAAGCCTGTTGGAGCACATCTTGTTGACAAGTTGTGACATTTTTACGTGTGTAGGCTGGTTCACAGAGTTCGTAAAAACGCACAAGTTGTTACAGGTCTGCAAACAAGTTGTTACAAATATGTTCATAAACTGTTGACAAGTTGTGTTCGCACTGCTTGTTCCCAGACCCTGTTGTGGTTAAGAAGTTTGGAGCAAGCTGTTAATAGAGGGTCCTGAAGGGGGGTTCCCAATCCCATTTCCCACCTGAAATTTTGGCAAAATCCCAGTCCCAGTTGGATTTTTATTAGAAATCCCAATCCCAGTTATTGAAATCCCAGTCAATAAAAAACCCTTTATTTATCGGTAGAATAAACCTACCGTAAAATAAAGACCTTTTAAGCAAGTGTCGGACACTTTATGAAATGTTATGGGGGGGGGGGGGG